ACTCATCCTCTTACTCTTACCTATGGGACATATCAATTTGTGAAGTAAACTGAGTTGTACACTGTAAAATAGTAGTAATTCGAGTTTGGACTAGTCCAATGTGGAATTCCACTCTCGCCTAAGCGGATTTTAAATCGGTCTGAATCTCACGTTGAACTTCAACATATGTATATACTAACAAAGAGGACTTGTACTTCGATAAAGAGGGGAAATTTTTGATCGATTTTATTTTCGTAGGTGGAAATTTTTTATTTTTACGGCAGATTCTGCACCTCTGCTTAAGCCACCTGAGGAGTCCGTTGAGCAAGGACAAAACCGGGCGTGGTATGCTCTTCAAGTATATTACACCCTTATGAAAAATAGATCACTTTGTTTTGAAATAACTTTTAATTCTAACTGTTTGGAGGTTCATATTTTGAACTTTCGATGCTCGCATTAAAGTTCTATCCAAAGATAATTAACGCTACCTGATGAAACAGACCCCCGAGAAAGTTCGAAACTATGGTCGTAGCATTCTCTATCTATATCACACCCTCAGTAATTTCTATCTGCCATTTAGGGTAATTAAACTTGAAGATTGATTTGGAAGCTTTGCTTTCAACTTATTTTGAAAGTTTAGCTTTTAGAATCTTTCTAATAGCTAATTATCTCACCATGCAGATCTTATACTACCTAATGATTGATTCCTTTGAATAAGATTCATAATTCGGATAGTGGTAGTTATTATTTTGCACACACCCTCCAGATTAGTAAATTGATTTGATGCGTTATAGCGTTTTCCGGGAAATTGGGAAATTCTAACTTAAGTCTATAATACCCAATATAAAAGTGCACAACAGCCGACATAGACCTAATGCTCATTAGGGACTTTCCAGAAAGGGACATAATCAGGCATAATCGGGCATAATGGGCATAATCAGGCATAATGGGCATAATCAGGCATATTAGGGCATAATGGGCATAATCAGGCATAATAGGGCATAATGGGCATAATCAGGCATAATGGGGCATATTGGGGCATAATAGGGCATAATGGGCATAATCAGGCATAATAGGACATAATGAGGCATAATGGACATAATGGGGCATAATCAGGCATAATGGGCGTAAATGGCATCGATACCCACCCGCACCCTCACTAAGAGAGATCCCTACTGACATCCACCCCGCACCCTCACTAAGAGAGATCCCTACTGACATCCACCCCGCACCCTCACTAAGGGAGATCCCCACTGACACCCACCCCGCACCCTCAAGATGCTAATAACCCCATTATGCCCCATTATGTCCATTATGCCCCATTATGCCCATTATGCCCCATTATGCCCCATTATGCCCATTATGCCCCATTATGCCCCATTATGCCTGATTATGTCCATTATGCCCCATTATGCCCCATTATGCCCTATATGAGAATTAAAGCTGCTCAGACTGTTCACTTTGTCCGATCAACAGATTCAATCTCCGGGAAATCAGTTGGTACCCAAGATATATAGAATTTCCCGGTAAACGCTATAAGGCATCATATGAGTAAATTAGTTTATATCTTACTTATCTCGATTAACTTGTTTTTAATTCAACAAGACAAATTCATATATTTCATTTATTTCAATGTGTGAATTTTAAGTATATCAAAGCACCTAATCTATAGATTTTGATTATACGTTGTTATTTTAATGTTTTTGCATTGAAATAATGATAAGAATCAAGATATAGAGTTGAGCCATTTGAAAATGAACTCCAACAAGTTCGAAATCGATTATGGTAGTTATATCTCACTCTACTTGAGATAAAGTACCATTATAGAGTAGAATTAGTTATTCTGGGTATCTCTTAGATATTTGAACGACTGGTTCTGCTTTATAACAGGGTATTTCGCTTGGAATTGATTGATTGACATTATTTTGTTTTTGAAATAATGTTTTTTGATCTTTTTGAAGTTTTTTACCATTTGAGAATGAAATTCAACAGGTTCGAAATCAATTATGATAGTTATATCTCACACACTCAACCGGGTCGAAACACGTGTCTTGGTAGCTCTTTTCACGCCCTCAAGATGTCGTATGATGCTTTGAATCTATTTTTCTATAAACTCACCCACACCCTCACACCCTCAAGAAACTACTGATCTTTATATACGAAGAATTTCATATTTGCCTTGACATGTACGCCCGCCGATAAATGACACAAAAATTTACTTTTAAGCTCTTTATTTTATAGGAATAAATTCTTCTTAACTGCTATAGTAGGCCTCATAGCTTCGACCGAAAAACCAGAAAAAGAACAAAAAAAGGCAGGATCATTGTGCAAAAAGTAAAAGAAATGACAACATTGAAACGAAGTCTTGTACCTGTTAGTAAGAACAGTTGTTGGAACAGAAGGTGGCGGCACTATATCCCAAAGGATCAAGGAAATATCGTAGGAATCGGAAAACAATTGTAACTTCCTAAAAAATTTGATTCTTTACTGAATCCCAAAAGGAAAGTTTGGTAGGTATCGAAAAGTGTTCAAAAGCATAAAACGCTTAGAAAACTTTAAAAGTTTTCCTGTGTATCGGATGGAAAAGGTTTCGCGCATTATTTGACTCGTTTTATTAAGTGTTTCTATGCTTTTTGAACTCTGAAAGAAAGGAATGTTACCCGAATTTTCCAAAAAAGTTCTGTCCAATTTCATGTTGTTTTCTTAAACTTTTGAAATGAAAGGAGCTTTGACACAAATTCAGAACCTTTTTAGGGTTCGGGTAACTTTCTGATTTTTTCCGGAGAACATTTTTCGACACTTGCTGAACTTTTTTAAGATTCGTTAAAAGAAAAATCTGTTTTAGCATGTAACCTGTGATATTCCTGAATTGTCTTTGCTTATGTTCTCATTGCACCATGTGGTGATAGTTTTCATAATCGCAGCTTGTGAGTCTTTTCCCAGACACTGCATGCTGACTAAATTATAGTGGCGAATCCAATTACCACTAAATAAATCAACAGATTTTTTTCAAGATAAAACATGCATAGATCGTTTAAACATAAATTTACTTACATCTGTTCTATATCCGTTGGGCATTTATGGTCTTTCAATGCATTTACGATACTATATTTTATGTTCATAATTTCATTGCGCCAATCTTCACGTACTTCAGCTATACAATTGCAAGTGGCTTGTTTTACATCTTTGAAACGTTTATTGCATTTAGTTGGTACACTAAACACGTCAGTAGTAGAAGCTAAGAGTGTCAGATGATTTATCTACGATCGCAGTTTAAGAAAGATTCTATCAAATATAATTTTTCACCACAAATATTTCATGTAACTTTGCACTCAGCAATAAACTACTTTTTGTACACACAAAATTGACAGATGCGTACCTCATTGTAGCACTCTAATATTAATAATTTGAAATCTAGTTTGTGGATTCACCGGAAAAGTCGCTGAATTTTTTCAACAAGATGTATTTACGCACTTGCTTATTTTGCTCGCCTTCTGGATTATGCATTGCGTATGATACATATCACTACGTCCATTCTTCATACACAGGTTGGTCATCGCCCACTTTTCAGGATTTCTTATTTTGCAAGCGTCTAATCTTGAATTGGCCATGATACGATTGGACATTGCTTGTTCTGCAATACTTTACAACATGAACAAATAAAAATAATATCTATATAAAGAAACTAAATAATATGAGTTACTTGATGATTTCCAACGGCACACTGTGTGCCAGCGATTCCTAAAAATATGGAAAAACATAAAATATGAAACAAGAGATTATACAGGATTTTTTAAATGATCTAACTTTCTTAACAAACAACGTTTAAAATATTTAAAAAACAGTAAAACCCGACGAAAAGATAACAATCACGAAGATGTGAGGGTCATTGGGTCGATTTTATGCGAATATGTTTCAAGGAGACAAAAAAAGCTTTTCTTTTTCTGTTTCAGTTGCGAACTTGCAACATAGTTCTAAGAAGCTCAATCTTTTCTTCTCGTTGTCTTTTTCCAAATAACAGAATAAAACTTATCAATATTTTGATTGCTCGTAGTTGCTAGACTGAACTACTTTTGGCCTTGTAGCCTTCGTGTTTATGAATAATTCTCTGGCCAATATTAGAAAAGAGTATCAAATAATCAGATGATTCCAGTTCTAGTTCAATTAATTTTTAATTCTGTTGAATGAAAACGATCACCCAGTCGACGTTCACTAGACAACAGTAGAGTTTAAAAAATATATAAAACTAGTTCGTTCATTTGAGAAGTGCTCTATTCTCACTCTAAGGGTGAAGCTTGCTGGAGTGTTAGACAGCTGTTTGGTACAGGCTTAGTCATAAATGGGAAATATATAGACTCACGCAGTACTTGGACTAAAATATTGCTTTGCGCTGTAATTTTCCAATATCAGTTCTACTTCTATGATAAAATTATTTCTGAGTTTTTACATAAAATATTGTCCATATCAAGATTTCAACTTAAAGAGTATATCTCCATAGTTTAAGAATTTTTGGACTGAGAATTTCTAAGAAATGAGTCCATCAGTATAAGATGTTATTTCTCGGATATTGTGTTATAAAAAGGTACTTTGAGAACATTATATCCGTAATGTACTCGATTTAAAAATTTTGCACCAATCTAGATACATTTTTACAGTTGAATGTCTTGGTATGGATAAAATTTCATGTAGAAATAAAAAACGTTGATTATATTATAGAAGCAGAGCTTCTAATGGTAAATTACAGTAAAAAGACGAATCTTTATTCAGAACATAACTTGATAGTATGTCCTCTTAATCTTGTCTATAGTATATATACTTTCTACTTGTTGTCAAAATTTCGAGCCAAAAGCTTTCTTATTAACTCGAGTTTCCATCTTTATAGTTGGAAGTAATCATTGGAGTTGACGCAAAGGAAAGCTCCTAAACAGCTTCATCGAGTGTTGGAAAAATTAATTAAACTTATTTTGATCCAATTCACTTGGATTACGAATACCGCAAAAAGCGTCATATATGGTGATAAAAGTGCATGGACAGGGGTGGCACTTTACCTTTAAAGAAAAAGTTAAAGTTGTTTAAAGTCGTATTAAACTGCTCTATTTAGTGTTTTTGAACAACTTTAAACTTTAGCTTTTTCTTTAGAGTTAAAATTAAAGTGCTACTCCTATGCACGGATCAAGGAAATACATCGCAAAGAATATCTTTCTCCGTTATCATTACTCTTCGGTGATTTGTAGGAATGTCTACATGATCTTATTCTTTTGTATATCAACCATTTTCATTCTAATACAGGATTATACCGAATAATTTACAGATAAAGGAAGTATAGAACAATTACGAACCTGGTTTGTAAATATAAAGTCGGAATCATTCAATTTATTGCGGGTACACGACTGGAGTTGGCTGCTGACGATATTGAAAAGGTTTATATCGATACATTTACGTGTTGTATAATTGATCTTCAAATAGTTAGCGCGTAGTTGCTTAACGATCTTTTGACATTGTCCGCAGCCCATGAGTGGTCCATCATCGCCGTAAACATCTCCATTTAACTCATTGTCGGACAAGACGCATTTATTGCTAAAAACAACGTTAAAATCAGTATAGAACATAGGGGAAATAACTTTACAATTACAAATCACAAAACGTTCCTCGACAAAGGACAGGGACGTTTTTACTCGGAAACATCGTTATAGAAGTTCACGTTTTATTATGCACCTTACGTCACATTCTAGAAGTAGATACTTACGGATCATCGGAGGTTTTGGCAAAGCATTGATGGACCAATGTCTGATAATCATCGCGAAATTCTGTTTCTACGGATCTTATATATTCATCGCTGCTAATGTTTTGTGCCCATGAATTCAAAAATGCGTTAAACCTATTGTCGCAGACATCTGCTGAATTAACCTGTGAAAATATGTAGAACAACATTATCAATGATTGAAACCAAAAAACATCATGATACAAATGTACAATATCAGACAACTTACGACAGAAACAATGATCAAAACCAGAAGTACGGTCTTCATATTTTTTCTGCTCTTTATCAATTGGTTCTTAAATGCCAAACTTCAAAAGCCAATGTCTAAACTTTATCACACAATTACTGTTAATATAATAATTCCAAGCTGAAGGTAGGTGAGGGGAAGATGTATATTTACGATTAAAATTAATACTTACATGTATTTAAATTAGTTTTTATGCATGTAGAAAGCAAGTTGTTTCGTATATTTATATAAAATTACTTGGTATTTTCCAAGTAATATTTATTTAACTGAATCAACGAACCGTATAACTCTGTACACATGGAGATAAGTTGGATATACCTGGATATTTTTTAAGCATAGTTTTTTCTCATTATCCTACACTACATAGGTTTGTCTTTCCTTTGTATTTTGTGTGCGTGTGGGATACCAGAGTGGAGATGAGGGTGTGTGGGATAGAGAACGATACATTCTGAAACGTGTGCACATCTCCAACTTTTTACTCAATATTACTGCAATGATTTATATAAGCTCTAAAAAATACAACAACAAATGATTTAATTCACAACATAAACAAAATCATTCTTATAAAATGTATCATTGTCCATTAATTGAAATACATCTGAAAGAAGAAAAACTTTGAAAATATCGCTAATTATAGATGAAAATTTTTACTCGGTTAATTTGATTAATTAATTGATTTGTTTTCAATGATAATGCATCTATTGTATGTAAATATCTTTCACACATTTTCTTACCTTTTTCTTCTTGTATTTCCCATTCTAGTTGTTTTCGAAAACCTAAAAACAAATATTTATTCGAAAGGCAATCTAATCGATATATTTACCTATCCATCGTAGAAATTTCTTTCTTATGCCTGAAAAGATTTCTGGATCTTCTTTTGACTTTTCTCATGCAAGTCGAAAATTATCAATTAATAATTGATAAAAACATACTAAGACAAATGAAAACAGAGATGAAAGCAAATAAAGTTAATGTAAATGGTCCAAGAAATTCTTCTGTACAAGGTAATTGGTTTCAATCACATTTAAGTAAAATCATTTCAAATAACATTCGTGATGTTTTAAATAATGATGAACATGAAGATAATTTTGAAAGAGATATAAGATAAAATAAACAAAGAAATGAAATAAAAATAATGGAAAACATCATTGAAAATGAAATTAATTCTTTTACTGTGCTAGGAAACGAATTATGTTTTCTTTTTTTCTTTTCTTTTCTGATCTTTCTTTTCTTTTTCTTGTTATTCTAACGTGACGTCATTGACATATGTTTCTTTCGTTCTTAGTATATTCCTATGTAGGGCTTGTCCAAACGGAACGTTGTGACATTTTGACAAAACATTTTTCGATTTTTTTGAAGACTATAAAAGTTACGGATCTCGTTCAAACGCTCATGGATGCAGCCCGTTAAACTCTATCAATGATAAAAAATTCAAAGATTTTGGTTGAGCTCTTGTATTTCTGCTATCATTTTAGAGTCGCGTAACAGCGTGACATAAAATGACTCTGGCCTTGCAGTACACCATTTTCGTTGTTAATTTTTTCATAAGATACTATTCAAATCAAACATAACAAAGCAGTGTTTTGTAGAGCTTTCAAAGAGCTTTGTGTTGCGAAAAAAGATTTTCCTTCCACTGTTTTATTTCTTACAGAAAATACGAAATACAAACGTAACGCTGTGACATTTTTCGTAACGTTGTGATACAATTTTTTGCTGATCATTTTTCAGACCCTTAGGATGCTTAGAATGAAGTGATTTTTTAAAGTGTAAGTCTACTCGGTTCTGTGATGATTTATACCGGGAAATGGAATGAGTATATTCANGTCTATAATGATAAAGATCTTTCTAATGGCTATTTCTTTTGAATACTTATTGAAATATCTTTAAGGTGAACAGACACGGTAAACAACAAAATCAGTCATCTAGCCTGGTATTAGTGATTTGACGATGTGAAATCACGTTAGCTTTGCACATGGAACTGAAATACATTTTCAGTACATCTTAATATGAGTCACCACGTTCATATGCGATCAAAGTACGCCAGAATCTTGTGATAAGTTTAAGAGGAACATTTTTCTCAATAAAATTCGTTCCGGATTTTTTAATTAACTTGAGCATTGTAGGAAAGGTTTGATCCGTTCGACGTCTAATATACTGCTTCAAATGCGCCGATAGTCCTTCTATTAGATTCAACTCGCAATGAAATTTCGGCGAGAAAGTTATTGTTATACCATAGTCACTAGGAAGTATTTCCAATTTTGAAACCTAGACATAAGAACAATAGATTAGTCGATTGAATATAAAAACTGGTCATCATCGATAGAATATTTACGTTCTTAAATGCTTCATGGAAATTAAGTAGCCGTTTTAGTTCTTCTAATTTTACTTTCGGTGGAATATCGATGCCCAATTCTTTTTGCCAGGTTAAGTAAACCTTTTGATTGTCCTTTATTCGCACCAGTTGTGAAAAAACGGTCAATAGTAAGTTGTTTACCACTTTTATCTCTGTAGAATATTTTCTCAGTTGAACAACGAGTTCCGGGCTTCATTCCAAAATCTTCAACTGAATATTGTTTAGCACTATGCGTGTGAGCATTATCGACAATGACATGAAACTTGTGATTTTGCGTAAGCTTTTTTGAACGGTAACATTTTGAATAAACAAATGAATTGATTAATGATCGCATCATTATCAAAATATCCACCGTAGCCCACCTGAATCGACCCAGAAGCTGATCGTACAATATATTGAATTCCATCATCTTCGAGTAATTCCGGATGTTTCTTTACAGCTGCTGTCCATTCGTCTTGAGAAAGCTGGAAGAAACGATTTTCAGGATGTGCAATCAAAAGTCTGACACCATCAGCGATCGTCCCCGGCCCTTCTTGAAAAACGGGGTAGTATCGTCGGAATCGAACCCTCGTTTAGCAGCTGGTTCACCACTTCTGAAGCGCGATTCATCATGAACTATAGAAAGAAAAAAATCTGTCTTTTAAGGCTATGAAAAAAGAACTACACATATCAGAACAGTTTGACTTTTCTTTGGGATGTTTCAACGCGGATCTTTTCCTTCTTTAACTCCATAATATTTATCCTGGTTTGTTAGAAAGTTGTTTACGAATTTTGTTCGCGCATCAACGACATCAGGTCTTTCATGGTCAGCCCAGCATGGTTTCGCTGTATTTTTGTCGAATTTACACCCCCAACGATTCAAGTCTCGACAGCAACCTCTTTCTGATCGAATTAATTCTTTCGCGGTTTTGGTCTATATGCAGCAAAAAAACATAAATAGATGGAAGAAATAAAAGACTTCTTACCTCTCCAGTTAGTTTATAATATTCATCATCTACACCGCTGTCCAGCTCGGAACAAGTGAAAGATGCTAATTTTCTTTTACAGCCGTTCAAAGCATATAATTTGGCTAAATTTTCTAATTCAGGATAAGTGTCGTAAAAGCTTTCTTCATGTTTACCACCTCTGTTGTCTTGCAAAAATTCTTCTAAGTCTTGTTCGATTATATCTGTACCCCATCTGCTGCAAGTATTCGCGGCAAGTCCACCGATCGCTTTCAGAAATAAATCAATATTTCGCCAAGGTATCCCGAAATACACCAATGATAAATAAACTAATACATATAGCGGCCGAATGGAAGCCTCTTCCAGCAATGCCTCAAATAGGTTTTCAATATCCAAAACGGTCATTTTGTTCTTTGAACAATTCTTTTCTTTATTATTTTCATTTGAGTCATGCAGATAGGTCGGAAATATCCAGAACAAAAGCATCATCTAATTCATCAACATTTTTCTTATCCCAACGACTTTTTATAGCTGCCGTTGATTGAGATCTTCTTTTCGATTTTTGAGGCATACCAGAAAGAGTGAAGTTACGAGATCCGAAAGATTTTGTGACCATAGAATACAAAAAACTTGACAGTGATTTTCTAGTTGTCTCCCTAATACTTATTTTCGACCTTGTCATGCCGAATACACTTATCAAGGGCTACCAAATAGACGTATAGTGAAGTGGAATTTTCCACCACATATCATTCCAATAGAGGATGCGCCACATAAAGAACTCCAAACCGAACGAAAATAAACTCAGGGTGTCCGTTCACCTTAAAGATATTTCAATAAGTATTCAAAAGAAATAGCCATTAGAAAGATCTTTATCATTATAGACATATAAGTTGCTCAAAAAGAAGAAATTAAAGCGAAAATAGTGTTAAAAATCAAAGAAAAAAAAATTCCGATAGAACACGTGGAAAAAACGATGAACTCTTGGGGAATGAAAGTGGATTAAGGAAAAAGGATACGTAGATTCTATCTAGGGCATCTAGGAAGTCGAACGATGAAAGAAAAATATATATCTTTACTAGAAAATGAGTTGATGCATTTTTAATGAGAGGCATTCAATTTGTCCTCATATTAACAAAACTGATTTTTCTCAATGACAAAGACATGAGTCGAACCGCTAAAAAGTAGTGTCCTAGAATCAGTTTTTGATGCTGAACCAGGAGAAGAAACTTCCAAAGGTATAACATATTTTTTCAAAGCCATACTGTCAAATTTCGAGTGAAAATCTTCATTTTTCGAAAACCTCAGTTTTTGTAGTATTTTGAAGATTTCTCCTCGAAGACGACTTTCTATGTCACTAAATTCTACATATTCGGATTCAATGCATCAGACTGCATCATATCGCATAAAAAAAATGAAAAAAAATTTGCTCCACTTTTGCTTAACACCAACCTTACTTAAAATTATTTGAAAAATATTCAAATGATTCTTACATGACCCAGATAATTCTAAAGACAAATGACTGGGCTTTCTTTAGATGGGCTTGTCCAAACGTAACGTTGTGACACAATTTTTTGCTGATCATTTTTCAGACCCTTAGGATGCTTAGAATGAAGTGATTTTTTAAAGTGTAAGTCTACTCGGTACTGTGATGATTTATACCGGGAAATGGAATGAGTATATTCATGTAGAAGCCCATATTAGAAGCAATAAGTGGAGAACTTCAAAGGAGCTCATGAACCGCCTTTTGCTACAAAACCCAAACCTTAATATGTCATTTTGTAGAGAATCAAATTCTGCATCGAGTGGCATGTAAAAGAACATATTTTAAGGATATTTTGTGCTGAGAACACTCAAAATACGATTCTGAAAAAGCTTAAAAAATATTTTCTTGGAGAAAAAAGTCGGCTACGAACAAAATGAACGTCAGATTCATAATCAGCGCTAAAACCTACATCTGAAACAGTATTTAGAAACGGAGTTATCGAAAAAAAAATTTTTCGAAACTTAATCAGGGAAGTGTCACTTTACGTGGACATGCCCTGTAGATCATCTATTGAGTTGATCTGGACATGAACCATCTCAGATGGAACATTTCCACAGACTTATTGTTTTTTCCTTTTTTCGACTGTATAAATGCACGAGGTTTTCACAAATAAAGTAGCGTGATAAGCGACAAGTGAAAGCACTCTAAGTAGTGTACTGGTCGATTGATTGTTCACTTATCGATCAAGACAAGGACTCTGTTGGTAGCACACTTGTGTCATACGAGAGTGTATGCATACCTCGTACAATTATTCAACGCGGCGTACCACGAACATTCAACAAACAATTTACGAACTAGCAGCGCAATTACCTCAGAGACACAGAATGAAAAACAATAGTGAAGATAACGAAACAGCAAATGATAGTGCACCAGTACCAATCCCGGTGACAGCACAATAAATGGAATCAGTGTTGCCGGAATTGGCAAAATTACGGGAAGAAATGGACAGATTGCAAATTCAATAAATCGAAGCGAATTGTTAACAACTACTCCAAGTATGGCGAAAATGCGGATGATTGTTAACACGGATCCATTGCAGCAAATGAAAGATTTTGTCAAACTTTTTGACAGTAATTCGGATGAAGACGTCTACAAATGGATTGAGAGTATTGTTCATTACTTCCAGGTGGCACGACTACCGAGAATTCAGGAACAATAATATTTTCAATATGCGCCGGCCTTTTCAAAGCATTATGCGTATAAGTCAAGGGGATAACAACCTTTTGTGAGTTTATGATTCATTTTGATCTATGTGAGTCAAAATGAGTAGAAATGATTCTCACGATTCAAAAGGAATCCACTGATTCATCAAGAGTTCAAATAATTCCTCATGAATTCGAATGATCCAATATGAGTTGCCACGATTTTATGATCCAAAAGCAATTTCTCAAGGACCTGAGTAATGAAACTAAATCTAGTTTAAGACATAATTATTGAAGAAATACTGAGTCCAATTTCAAATCACCGTAAAATCAGCACTATATCATTGAGAAATTACCTGTTAATTTTTTCCTGAATTTTGACGGGTGTAAGCGACTACCTGCAGCTTATATTAATTTCGATTGAATTTCACTCATAATTCAAAATCATATCTATTGTCAAAACGGATTTGAGCTTATAAAACTGACACTTCACTGATTTGTCCTTGGTATTAATTAGTTAATTATAATAAAAAGACCGAGCATTATTGTTAATTTAAATCGAACACAGTTTTTTCGTATTTTCAACTTTCATCCTAACAATAGCCTTTGATTTATTTAAGCTTTCCTCATGAAGTAAATAAAGAATGATTACTTCACAGCTACATCATGCGTAGATAGTTATCCAGCAAGATTTTCAGACGAACCAAAGAGTACAGTTTAATTCTCACACCGCGTATTGCTGAATTTGTAACGTTTGATATAAAACCAGGAACGGAGTCATCGAAACCTGCCAATGAGTCAGTATAATCATTATCACTGTTATCAGAAAATCGACTGTTTAAATTGATTCGTGCATCGTGTTCGTTTTTATCATCGTTATCATCATCATCGTTGTGTAATGCTTGACTGATATTAGACCACTGAAATGATTGAGTATTTGACGTTTTTTGACGTGAACGTGATAATCTCTCGAATGCAAGACGGTTTACTTCGTCAAATGAAATCATTCGATCTGATGGATCCAAAATTGACAATTTGCAATCGCTAGAAATCGATTAGCCTCGAAGTAGGCACTGTATACTGTATCTTCGATTATCTTTTCAGTGATTGTTGATGTAGTCAATGTAGAGAATGATGGAGTAGTTCGTATCTACAACTTATGGCGTTTCGGAAATACAAGCATGTTAAGATTTGGTGCAGCAGCAAATTTAATCTCTTGAAGTGTACTAAGCTTGGATGCTTGATGTAAAAAATCCATTACAGTGAAATTCACTACCAATGAAAACACTCTAGACATAGAACGTGCCGAACGAAAATAACTTTCACACACTTGTGACTTGTGAGTTAAATACTATTTGCAAAGCGTCCATTGTGATTTGTTTCTCCACAACGAGTACAACCAAATACGTAAGACTATATGTGCGTTCAGCTGTAGTGACAAAAGAGTTGACATGGAACTAAACAAATCTCGTTTGTTAATCGAATCGAACGATTCAGTTGGCAATAGAGTTGAAAGCGTTTGCTGGATGTTGCCAACACTTGTTTTTTTCCAAAGAAGCATACCAAATACGAATGATAAAGATGGCAGCCCACGCAGTGAACAAACGATCAATTATCGAAGTTTTTTTTTCAACATAAGCTAATCGAACAAATCGCATGATCTAATCAACAAATATTAGTAAGACAAATACGTCAAAAATAATGAGAAAATCTCACATAAGAGAGAACAAACTCTGTATGAAAGATGGGAAATCACCTCCTTACAAGTGTGCTCATTCAAAGATTGATATGAGTTGATGGTTGAACACTACTTGTACATACACTTGAGTTGCCATCGACGTTGAAATTCGCTTTAGAGAATTAAGAACATTATCATTGGAGATTTTTTCACAAGAAGTATAATTCTGTTTGTTCTTCACGTAAATATCCGATACAACAAGTCCATGGTCTAATTTTGATTGATTTTCTATCAAGACAAGTAAGTGATCGACACTTGCAACTTGATCGCCAATCAACAAATGTATATTCGGAGATAAAAGACGATTGCGAGGATTACCACATAAATGGGTTCCATCTTGGAAACATACAAAAAGTTGTTCAGGCCGAAGAAAGAACCAGGAATTTGTCTAAACAACAGGTATAGTCAAAATTATTCAAAATTTCCAGCTGACCGACATATTTTAAAAGTAGAATAAATTATCTCATAAACGTGACAGTTTACGTAACAGTGCAAAAAACAGTGAAACGACACCAAGTTAATCGATTTGACTGAATTGCGAGATGTAGTTCATACATACCTTCAATGACGAGATTTTGAAGATATTTGGATGATTAAGAAAAATTGTCTTGTCATTTGCGAAGAAACTCATTGAGTTTCTCATAGCACGTAGGTATTTCGCATCTCCATCAGTCGAGAAACCTAAGATTCGAATGTTTTCGACCATAAAAACATCAAATATTCGTGACCATCGACTGAGAACATCATAAGATTTGTTCCCTCTACTGAAAAGAGGGTAATGCGTCGAGCTGATATCACTGAAAAAACGAGTTGATGTGTGTTCGTTCGTTCATTTTGTCTTATAATATTACCTAGCAATACTTGAAAGTAGTAAGGGTTGACTGAAAGGGTAATCGGGGTCGAGGATCACGAATTCGGTGTTAGTTTTTTCATGAACACTTTCTCGCCCGTTTTTTTTGTGACACAGGATCAATTTTTTAGACGATAATGTTTTTAGCGGCAATATGTAGAGCAAAATGTAATAGCTGACTGACGTCCGATCACTGGATCTCCATAGTCATCAGCATATTAATGAGATCACACACTTTTATAAACAGGTATACTATACGAATATCATCTGATACCAGTCATTCAAAATAATGTTTTGCTTGTCAGGTGTTGTCTTCAACAGTCACAGTAGCACAACAAGGGTGACTTTAAAGAAGGAATAGAAGGGAATGAATGGATTAGTTTCAAAAGTGGCTGTAGACTAAATGGAAGAGTGAAAATGTTCATGGAACGGCTAGTCGTCGATTTGGAGAATAATATTTTCAAGGACGAATTTTCTGATTTTTTTTTTATAGAGCTTTAAGATTTCTTGGTCAGAAATTAATCGTTGCTTTCCACGAACATAGCTGGCAGCTATTTAAGGTTCCTCGTGATGGAGAGAAGATTGAAACCTTTTCGACAGAATCATATAGCTATGTAAATTTTCCAAGTTTTTGATTATGAATTGATTTTCCGAAATGAGCTCATTTTCGGAATGCGTCTTCGTCCGAATGAAGTTAAGATAGTAAAATGAGTACGTATGGGGACATCTAGCCGTGAGTGACCGACCGACTAGATGATTCTCTTAAAAATTAGTTGTAAAGTGTGATTTATAAGACTGTCGCATAGTGCCCATAATTTTTCTAAGATATATATATAACGTCTTTTCGAGCTTCGAGAAAAAACTATGTAGATCACCAACTCATTCAACTAAAAATGATGATAAAGGATATACTGTAGGTCACGAAGTTGTGAAAAATTTCGGTAACTTTGCTAGAGACGGATTCAACAAGAACAAGGTACTTTATAATATGAAAATAACATTAGACACTTATTAGGTATCGACGGCTAGCGGTGAGTGGTCGACCGGAGGGATGCCGACGAATGATTAGCGGTTAGTCTCTAAAACTTCTCATGAGTCGGATAGATAAGATTCTTGAATCAAGACTCGCGATATTTGTAAGGTTTTCGAGTAATACGAGTCATAAGCAGAGATGGGCAGCTCCGGTCTCTACCGACTCCGACTCTGTTCGACATTTTTCCGGCTCGTTCCGGTTTCAAAGCCAGATTCCGAATTAAATTATCTCCCATGAGGATATAGGCAATGAGAACATCTACACCCACTCATCTAAGTTATAGGTAGAAAGTTTATGAAAACTATCAAGACATGATTCACCGAGAATTTTGTAAATTAATATTAAATTATAAATATTAAAGTCTACTGAATTTATAAACCTAAGGGGAAATAAAACAATAATATTTACTATAATAAATCTTTAACTCATCTAGATTAGTCTTTCGGAAGTTCCCATATCCACTAGTTTAAAATTGATGTAGAAGAATAAATTTCTTCAGAGTTTCTGATAAATATGATTCATATTGAATTTCTTGTGAGATAATTAAATGGGTACATTGACATTTAAGTGACATTGATCGTTTTGAATGTAACAATTGTCTTATTTTAGTATGTTTTGCACATTGTTCTGGTAAACGTCGCTGATCATCCAGACAATCGGTATGTGTGCCAGATGCAATAAGCAATTCGATAATAGATTGAGTCAGATCAGTATCATTCCTAGATGCGACAAGATGTAATAAACCTGCCTTCACATATAAACGTTCGTCTATGTACGCAAATGTATTAACATTTACTCCACAATGAATCAATAATCGAATGACAT